TCTGTTATCTGCCAAAGTCATTTATTTGCCGGTTCAGGCTTGTCCACACAGAGTAAACGACTTTGCAAGTCTCTGAAATATAACTGCCATGCTTATAGGGTCGCTGTGATTCAACATTCATTTTGTACCTCATGCCCTGCCACTGAGTCATGATATCTGTTAGATATATCATACAGCTGCTGAGGTCAAGTGTCACTGTGACACATTAAGGCAGGTTAACAATCCAATGGAAGCAGTTGGTCCAAAATGAATGTTCATATTATTGAGTTTTCTAAAAACAAAATATTTATTCTCACCATTTTAACAAATGCATGCAATTGTGTGTAAAAGTATAGTTAATACATAGCGAAGTGAAATATACCACAAAATGGTGCATGCCAATTATTGGACAATTTTAGGTTATTTGATTTATTGATTATTAAAATGACCCTCAAACATTGTAAACACAAGATGTTACACTTAGGTGGTCTTCTTATTTGTTAAGTTACCATTAAAGTACTGTTGCTCCCCTCTTCTGAGAGTGTGACCTCTGTCTTTCAAACATGACAGCCATGCTTAGAAAGTCTGTGTGATTCCTGTTAGTCCTGTGACAGCACCCCACGCCCTCCTGCTGTGCTCTATACATAGAGAGTGACTTAGAGGTGTAAAGACTTCACACCATAGAAATAGATTTATCATGGCAGCTCCACACAGATGCTGCGCGAAAACCTCATAAATCTAATCTCAGCAAATGACATGTTTTCCTGTGGACTCCATTATTATGTACAGATGTTGAAAAAAAGAGCTCCTGTTTGGGTGCCTGAACAGGGATTATGGTGACCACTGCTGTGTATCTCTTTCTCATTGCCCTTACTTTTAGGGAAGTTAATTAGCTGAAGTGATTTGATAATAAAATAAACCTCTCTTTTAAAACCCATGTACTTTATAAAGCAATAAAATAAGAATTATATGCACTACAGACTCATAGCACAAACTATCCAAACTAATACACCAATAGTTTGATGGGATTGTTGACTGAATCATTCACCATCAAATGTCAAGATTTCCTAGAGTCAAACCTGCAACATTTGTTTTACTATAATCAACACAAACTTGAAACTGTTCAGTCCAAAAGGCATGGAAAAGAGTCATTGTGATTAAAAGTTTGTGTCCCAGTTGGTTGCCGGCCTGCTCCTGCTCCCATGTTCCAGTTGGCACCTTAACCGAGGTCCAGTCAGCTGTGCCAGCCTATGCTCAGCCTGACCTTTATGAACACAAACTGGCTGTTACAGTTGAGACTAAGACTAATATTTTTGACCCAAAGTCAGTCAGTAATGCTGAAGGTAAGCCTAAAATGCCTTTGTTCGCTTATCATGAGTAGGACTCCCTACAACCAGCCCTCTTCCTTCAGATCTGCTGCCCTGTTCTCCTGTTCCTAAGCATCTTCAGCTCGAGTCTCCAGTTCCTACTGAGTGATGTCGGCACCAAAGTTCTGTGGAGCATTGCCAGTTGCTAGGTCCAGAGTCAGGTTCGGATTGCCTTTGGTAATGTCCATTATTGGGGGTCCTAGTCTGCGACTCGTCATGTCAAAAGTCAGGGGAACCAGTCTACGACTTGTAATATCCAGAGTTGGAGACCCCTGTCTTAAACTAGTTAGGTCCAGAGTCAGGGATCCAGATTGACTTTCTGTCAGGTTCAGTGTCGGGAATCCCAGTCTACGACTTGTAAGGTCCAGTGTTGGGAATCCCAGTCTACGACTTGTCTTGTCCAGTGTCGGGAATCCCAGTCTACGACAACTTGTCATGTCGAGAGTCTGGGGTCCCAGCTGACGACTTGTAAAGTCCGGAGTCCAGGGTTCCAGCTGATGACTTGTCATGTAAAGAGTTTGGGGTCTCAGCTGACAACTGGCCAGTTCCTGATCATTTTTCTGTCTTGCCTGTTGCCTGTTTAGTTCATTGTTTGACCCAGTCATTGCAAAGCCTTGCTTTCTGAGAGACTCCATCCTTTTGGTCGACCTCCTGCCAGTTTACCTGTGCACACAGCTGCTTTCCGTCTGCGATCAAGCCGGTATATAAGCCTCTCCTGCTCACTCACTTATTGCCAGATTGTTCTTTGCCATCTCATTTTAAGACTTTCTAGCACTGGGAGTGATTCCCTGTTGCAGTCTCTGCCTGCCTCTGACCTGCCTGCCTTTTCATAATCCTTGAAATTGCCTCAGCCTTCTGTTGACCACAAGTTCTGTCTCTGCGTTCCGGGTTTCTGTCTGCCTTCCCCCCTTTGGCTGTTTGGCAATTCCCTGAGACAACAATACGATGTAACTTTTCCTGTTTACTTACCTATGGATCCCTAAGGCTCCGGGAATCTCATGTTCTGCCATACTCTTTACTGTGTTTGTGTCCTGTCAGCTTACCTGCTAGCTCCATGAACTTCCCTCCTGCTTTGTCAACCTATAATGAGTGTTTTCAATGTACCATTGCCTTTATTTTTGACTGTTGTCTGGATTTTTTTGGAAAAAACAACCACCTTTACACTCTTACTTTTCTCCTGGCCCTGATTACCCAGCCTAACCCCCTGGCCTAGTCCCTAGAGGCTCTACTCTCAGGAGAGAACTGAACGGTTTGACCAATTTCTGTTTTGCTTAAGTTCCCATTTGAATTTGGAAATAAAATCCAACATAAATGGTTTATGCTTTCCACTGCATTTGGGTCAATCAATATACAACCAGTAACAACATGATTTTCTCTGCAATCAACAAACTATATACATGACCCCGAAGATGTCAATGTCTGTCCACAGTATTTGCTAGCAGGTAGTCCAAACAAGTATATTAATAAGCCCTATGTATGAACAGAGGCCACACATTAATTACACAGTTAATGGTTAGGATTGTAAGGAAAACCAGATCTAATATAGCTGGCACTTTAAAGAAGATTATCCATTACATAATTCTACACTACACTGCTACACCTGCTACATCTTAAACTGCAAACCCAGTCGCAACTAGCCATCCATCTGTTGGTTAAAACAACATGGCAAAGACACTTGAGATGGATAATGCAGTGATGGTATCATCAATCATAAACAATCTAGTGTGAGGTGGTATTGACATACAGGATGTGTATCATGCTGAGGGAGTCATTTTCTTACGCACATATGCTTAGTTGAACACCCACATGTGCACATATGTACAGTCATTTCTGCTTTTTTTTCAGGATCACTCATTTCTCTCTTCACTCAGTCAGCATATGACAAAACCACTAGGGTTGAATTGAATAGTTGTGGTGGGGACTTGGCATGTGTGAATGAAAACATTTAGACTTTGAGCCACATGATATAATATACTGCAATACCTAGCAGCTGATGGGCCAAATGGAGCTATACATTCTCAGCGTATCTGTGATTAAGGGTGCTACTTTAGACTTTCGTCTCGGCCAATAACCAGTAAATGTGCATTTGAGTGTGTTTTAAGCACCAAGTATGAACAGACTTCTGTTGAAATGAATGAACAGGGGCAGCATTTATGAGTGGTAAATATGGAGGTGGTTGAAAGGTTGGTAAACAACCTTATTTTTGCCGTCATAAAAATGTTCTAGGCACTGCTGCAACTGTCTTTCTGCTAACAGTATCTGAAATGACTGATTGCTATTTGGTCAAATGTACAGGTACAAATTGCATCTAAGAAGTGAATGTGTAGCATTGTGGTAATAAAAGTGACGGCAATGCATAAGCAAGTACCTTAAACCTGCATTCTGGCTAATGGTCAGGCTGAACTGGTTGCAAAAATAAGTCAGATTGTATAAAAGTGCATGAGAAGAATATGTTGCTTTTCACTTTGATTAAGTAAATACTGTGTTTTCCTATTGAGCTTGTGGTCTCAATCACAAGTGTCATGTCTTTTTCTATGCACCACAATTATATATTGAAAAGTATGGTGTAGGGTATGCTTTTAAGGCGTGCTAATTTGAAAAGTATAACCACGACAACCCCACAATAAAGAGTAAAACAGAAAACGGTGATGGCAAAAATGCCAAACTTGAAGGTTAATAAAAGGTAATCTGAAAAAAAACGATGTCATGCTGGCAATGTCCACTTCTTACAGGACTTGTAACATTATGTCATCATCATCATCAACATGGCCTTGATTAAAAGGATTATGAAAACACTTTCTTTCACATCTGTTTCTATCTAACACAGACCACCAAAGACACAAGCTCTGGCATCTTTAATACATGCAGCTTTGAGTATTCAGTATTAACACTTTTTCGCTGGAGACTGTGCAGCTAAATATAACAGTAACTGATAGTCATGCTGGTCAATGGCAGAAACACTGCTGGCTCTGACACCGATACAGAAGATGAACAGAAACAGACACCGGCATATGTGTGTGGTCTATGTGTATCTTAGTGTGTAGTGGTGCTACATGGATTGGGAATGCTGTCCATATTGGTATAATTGTAGTAAATGATAAGACAGAGGAATGAAAAAAATGCTGATTTGAACAGTGCTTAACAAAACCCAAATTAAAAGAACAAAAAATGTGATTCTTTGAAAATCAGACAAAGTATTAATACCAGAAACAAAACAGCTTTCTAACCCTACCTTGACCCCCTTATCTTGGCATTTGTGAGTACCTTCTCTGTTGACCTGTTGCTGCATTAGTGGACTTTATGAGCCTTTGCACTGAGGCTCTAATTGATATTTGATGGACGTTGTGATCGTAACTTGGTCTCAGAATAGAGTACAGACTCAAAGCTTAGACACACAGCAACCCTCTGATCCTTTACTCTCACACAGGCTAGACATACCACAGCTTTGTGGCAAATTCAGGGCCGCATATAGACCAGAAAGAGAGATGAAAGAGTCAAAGAAAGAACGAGAGGAACAAATAGAGGCTAATGCTGAACAGACAGGATGATTCCCTTTTCTTTCCGAAAGTTTATTTCTAACTTTTTCTATGCCTCTCTAACAGTTTCTTGCTCCGATTCTTTCAATTTTTGCCTTGTTTTTTTTGGTGCACTGACCTGCAAAGGCCCGCTGGCTGGCATGGTGGATCTCAGCGATGTCAGGTCGATGTCTCGGCCCTGATCCCCTCTCTCTGTCTTTCCGAGTCCCTGCATAATACGGCCTGTAGCGAACAAGCAAGCAAGCAAGCACACACACACACTCGTACACTTGAGTCTTGCCCCAACAGCAGTGCAAATGCTAATGTAAGGATGGCAGTGGTGGCTATGAAAGAAAATGACCCTGGATGCCAGGCACCAAGCACCAAGGCCAGGGAGGACAGCGAAAGGGCCAAACAAACGACCTATTCACCCAGTCTTACTCTATTTCTGCCCTATTTCAGCCTCTCTCTCTTTCTATTCTTCTCTTTAACAAATCTTGTTTGTGAAGATGCTGGAATACCAAATCATACTGAAACCTGGCAAATATTGTCCAAGTGTAAAGCTAGTCCCATGTCTGTGACTATATTTGATTGAACAACCACTGGAAACAGTGCACGCCAAGATGCGTCTATTTGTGCTTGTTTGCTCGACAAAAACATTCTGTGGTATTTCTGTTAAGTTAACTGAGGTCAGCCGTTTTCTTGCAAAAGCACTGAGGCTCCACTGTAAGTAGTTAACAGCCTTCTTAACCAGGGGACTCCAGGATTCCTATCAAGTGAGCCAGAAAGATAATCTGAGCACAGGGGACAGGCTTATACCAGGAGTGTTAGAGATGGATATTTAAAAACCTGAGCTAATAAAACTCTAACATCGGCATGGCTACGAACTAGAGATGAGTAACATCCATGAATACAGCAGTTATGTTAACATTAACCCCCTAGAGCAGCTACAAATAAAAAAGTGTCATGAGGTGACTTTTGTTGCTTTGTAAATAAAATTGATGACATTTTGCTTTCGCATGAGACTATTAAAAGAATATGTTTTTAAAATTAAAGTATAGTTATATTATATTATAAGACTGAGGGTGCCAGTGGCCTTGTGGTCAGTGCGTGCGTCCCATGTACGGAGTCTAACAAGTGGGCAGCCCAGGTTTGGTTCCGACCTGTGGCTCCTTTCCCACATGTCTTTCCCTACTCTCTCTCACAGATTTCTGACTCTATCCACTGTCCTATCTCTAAATAGAGGCATAAAAAGCCTAAAATAAACGTTAAAAAAAAGGACTGAGGAGGACTGAGGAGACACAAGAATGTGCTGATGTTTACTTTACAGAGAGAAAGACAGAAAGAGGAGACAGACAAACAGGCAGACAGACACTCAGGCTCCCTAAAATCCCAGAATTAACATGTCTCCATGAGTGGACAGACCAGGAAACTGTCTCATATTGAACATTGAAAACCACAAACACTCACGACTATGACACATCTTAAAATATGTTGTTTTTCTTTGGCCTCATCCTCATGTCACAGAAACAACAGACCACCAACAGTGTACCTAAAACATTCAGAGATACAAAGCTACAAAGCAAGTCAAACACTCATCACACATATAAAGACTGTCCTCAGGGGAAAGAGGGTTGTCAACAGTGATTAAACACTGCTGAAAGCTCATAATCCTCAGAAAAATGATCACCTCAATGGTAGGAATTTCATTAGTTAAAGTGTACCTGAACATCACTCACACACACACACACACACACACACACACACACACACACACACACACACACACACACACACACACACACACACACACACACACACACACACACACACACACACACACACACACACACACACACACAAAGCGTATAAACCTTTGACCCACTGTGTAAAGACTTCTGCTCCAAAAAGGAGTCATACATCTATATTTGGCCAACCGGTTACCTAATATCACGTCACTCATCTGTTACTGCAGGGGGATTTGAAATCCCATCGATGGCTTTCGCCATGCTGGCAATGTTGTCTCACCCTAACTTTCAATCCACCTAACGACAGGCTGAGCGCTGGAGCTGAGGCGGGTTTAAAGCCTCTTGACAACAAACTGCTACACTGCGCCTGCCTGTCAATCAGCTCAGCTACTAACCTTATTCTGAATAAGTCCTTCACCAAATCCAAATGGACAGGTTATCACCCCCCCCCCCTCCAAATACAGTGTGGAGACATAAGGTAATCAGACCAATTTTGTTTTTTTGAACCAGGCCGTTATGTTCATTTCTGCAGTTAAAAATTGCTTCTTCTTTTTTTTTTTTTCTTTTTTATTAGAAAAAGCACAGTATGGTTTACATTGCACATAACCTTCATTACTTGACAGACTTCCTTGATCCTCATATAGTTATTTGACCATTGTTTGTCCCCCATTCCGCCGGGACTTGGGAAAGACTGGTGCAGAAAGTCTGAGTGTCTTTGTCCATAATGCTTTCCCAAAATGTTATTTTTCTTATAAATCGTGCATTTACTGCAACATGTGAACCACAGAACCGGGGAGCTTACTGTTTCTGAATCAAGCAAAAAGAAAAAAAACAAGATGTAGAGGGTAGGTTTTCACAATTCACAAATAAAATCAGTTAAAGTCCGATCTTACAGGTTTTACATACTCAGTCCATTTAGACCATGTTATATAAAACTTTTCTTGTGCACTCTGAGGGAAAATGTTATCTTTTCCATGACGTAGATCCCATGTATAATTTCCATCCATTCCTCGATGGTGGGTGGGTCTACAAACAAATTGCTTTTTAGAATGGGGTGTGTATGTGACTTCTGGTATACTTCTGCAGCCAGCCTCAAGTGGACGAACTGCAGGATTTAGCTAGCTTCATTTTCATTCATTTATAATTCATAGTGTTTATTCATTTTTGCAATTATTTTATGGTTTAGGGGACTATAAATGATTTCAGACTTTACATGTGTTATTTGGCTCACCCATTCAAAATCTATTGTGCTTGTGGATTCATTTACCTGGAATTTGTTTCCTAAGAAAAGTATCGTATAGCTCATTAGCCCTGATATCTTTTAAAGCACAATTTGGTCTGAAATAGAAATAATAACAAACCATGATACACATTTAAGAAAAAGGCATTTGAAGCAACTATAAAGAGTGTAGTTTTATACATCAAATTACTAAAATTACATTATTATGGTACTTGGTTGATTTTGTTGACAGTTACTCTCAAACAATGGATAACATATTTGCCCTCTTCTGGGTGTTAAAGCAGAAGCATCTGCCCTTTCACTTCCATATTTTCTCTAAATACATTTGCATTGACATGCTTCCAGGAACTCTTAATGTCAGCTGAGTCTTGTTATTTTCCTTTTTGTGGTTTTCCAGAATTACACTTCTGCCGTCTTTGGGGGATTCTGGTTTGTATTGTATGACTACACAGTGTGGCACATATTAATAGGCTGTATGTGTATTGTTTTACTGTCAAGCTATAAATTCAGACTTTATCCCAAAATGAGAGGCCCAAAACAAACTCTCCTGCCCACTGTTTGTTTTTTTCTTTCTGTAATCATTCCTCAAAACTGAACGTAACATGATGAGACTCCAGTTCAGCCAGACCTCCTCATTCTTCGGTTCCTAGAAACAGGGAGTCTTCAGCAGATGCCAATTTGAGTTTTCCAAGTTTTTCCTAGAAAGAATAACTGCATTGTAGATCCATTTTAGCTGTGTTGTAAACAATTTCACTCTCTGTCCTGGCTTAAAGAGATTCACAGAGTGTTAGTTTTTGACAGGTTATTTCTCTAATCCTCAGTCAGAAAAGCTTTCTTTGGTTTGTGCACGTCTATAAACACAGAGAGATGAACAGGCACTTTAGGTTGAAGGCTGTGGTTTTAAAAAGAGAGTTCATCAGGTGCATCCTGGACTGTTTTGGGCATGTTTCAATGTGTGCTTGGATACGTGGAAGAAAAACAGAAGCTGTCAACCCATACCTGTAATTTTCTCTAATCCTTGATAACATGCCTTCAGGGGCTGTGAGCCGCTCTTTCTCTTGATGTAACAATTTTGCTTGACTGTAAATAAAGTTGTGAGAGTTATTAAGAAACCTGCTACACGGGCTTTTGGTGAGCAGTTCCCTTGTCTCCAGAATGGGAAGAACTTTCTTTTGTGTATTTAAGTTATTAATAGCATCCTCTCTGTGAAAGCTGAATGGATTGCTTCGGGCTATTTTACAAAACATTTAATTGTATTTAATTTCCTACAAGGCTGCTGGGTAGACGATAGTAAAACAATGGGATTTACAAGTTCCAGGACATCATAACTTTATTGCTTAAACCCTCATGTGCTGTTTCAAATTATCTTATGCAAGAACTTGAGCCATGACACCGGTTATGAGGTGATAACGAGGGGAAGATGTCTGAAGAACTATTGTGGGAAGGTAATGGCATTTTAAAAACTGTTAGCGTGCCTTTTAAAGATACACTGAATCTTTCCCTGTAAACTCATGGATGCTTTTAATTAAGACTTAAGTATGCACATTTTTTACATTATCTAGCCAGTGACTCAGGGTTTAGTGGTTGTTTGGTGACCACGAAAGCATATGTTGCAGAATGAAGAGGTAGTACAGTGTTGTGAACCTAAATTGACCTCAAGGGAAACCCCAAAACCTCATTGTCCAATCAAATATCAGCAACTTTAGAGGAGTCAAAATACCTTCTACCCATCAAATGGAACTTCAAGAGTATCTACCTGCTGTGTCGTGACGTATTTCCAACTGAAACGGAATAGAACCAAAAATAAATTAAAAGGAGGGAAATAACATCAAGATGAATTTGATTCAATCATTAGCTTCAGCAAAGCTTTTTAATTGGCTGAAAAAATTAGCAACCCCCCCCCCCCTGAGTGCAGGATGTACTGTAAATATTATTTATCTTATTTTTACCTCATTTTATTTATCTATTTTTAACTTATCTTATTTTACTTTATTTTGGTTGTATTGCACTGCGGGACGGAGACAAACGAAATTTCGATTCCACTGTATGTCTGGCATATTTTGAAATTGACAATAAAGTTGACTTTGACTTTGACTTTGAGGATGAGTCTTCAGAGTCTTTCTACAGGAAGAGAAAATAAATTTATTTTTATGTAAAAAGTACTTAGATAATACTTTATTGAAAAATATTTAATATATTTAAACCCAATAAACCTGGGAGGGCGGGGCTTAGCAAGAACTCAAATGAGACATGCTTAATGACGTTTGAGACTTGTCCTGGTCATGTTACAAATGACTTCAGACTTTAACTTTTCCAGAGTGCTAATAATCAGCTGTGACAGCGCATGACACAGTGTAATGAGACTAACCAGGAGACCAGGAGATACACAATCGTCTGTTGTTGTCA